AAACATCGTGTACTGAGGTAACTTGCGCTTGCTGTGCCATAGGTTAAGGTATTTAAGACCAACGTTTGGATGGGGCGTGACTCGTCCTCTCTCCACAAAATTAGCTGCAAGTTCCTATCACTTTCGTTGACAAGCACCTGCCTATACATTTTTTCCACATCTCCAGTGAGCAGGTACTTGTATTGCCTTGCCCGAATTAAGATGGAAAAGAGGGTGTCTTGGACATTGGGACCTACCATTAAAATGTCATTCAATGAGTAACCTGATGTAGAAGAGGCTGAGCCGTCGAATACTACGCGGAGCTTGGTAGACTCGCTCTCTTGACGTATGACCGCATGATGACACAAGTAGTACGCTGGGAGAGGGACCGGTGAACTATTATAGCTAGATACAGAGAGATGCCCTAATTCTGCATATTCTCTTAAGAATTTTGTGTATTCAGATTTGAGGTTTGGATTACGCTTGAAACGTTTTTCTAAATTAATGAATCGTTTTTTCGCACGATTGTAGCTATCACCTAAACAATCTACTGATTCTTTTAAAGGTAATTTGACACAAAACCTACCTTCTTCATCTCTTATAGTATTAGCGAGAAAGTGCCTTTCACACTCGCATTCATCTTCACTTACGCTTGACCTTTTCGGAACTTCTTCTAACTCCCAAAATTTAGAAACTAACTGTTCTATATTTTCATTTTGCGATGAAGAGACAATGGCGTGATTACAGTGTATCCTTTTGCTAGATACTGCTGAATTTATGGGGCCAGAGATTATCCAACCTAACTGTGAACTCCTTAACTTAGGATTGTTGGGTCCTAGGGAACGTTGTTCGTTGCCTAGAATGTCCCAGAAGAGATCAGCACCTATTAGTACATCTATGGGGGCTGGCTGATAAAACAAGGGGTCAGCCAACTGAATATTTTCTGGTAATTTAATTGACTCGACGTCAACCGGCGTCTTTGGTAAACGACCGGTGAGCTCATTTAAAACAAAACACGATAACATTGCACTAAAATTGCTATTTGTTGCTTTCAATTGAATATCACAACTTTCAATTACATTCATTGAAGAAGTGTTGCCTATACCAATGACCTTTAGTGTGTCAATGTGGCGAGACTTTAATGACAGCCTGGTCTTTAGGGACTCAGATATAAATGACGATTGACTTCCGCAATCTAAAAGAGCACGAACTTTGACCTTTTGATGATCAACTGGATTCGATACTTCAATAATAGCTGTAGATAATAACACCTGATTTGTATTTTGATTAGAATAGTTAACGATAACTTCATTACCATCTTGTTCATCAATGAGAGCGAGGTGGCTTGAGGAGGATGATGGGCGATGGAGCAAACTATTGTGACGCTTGGAGCAGCCGCGTTCACGGCATGGACCCATGCGACACTCGCTTTCGGGGTGACCTTGTCTTAAACAATTAACACACAATTTATATTTCGTCACGTCCATCATTCGCTCGTCAACCCCCTTCGCCTTAAACGTCGGACAATCATATATCCTATGACGCTCATTGCAAATAATACATATAAACGTAGTATTTGGGTTTTTGTTATAATTATTGCTGGTGCTCGCAAACGATTTTACGACATTGTTTTGATTTTGACCTGTCCTTTGAATATAATTATTATTAGACATAGAACGCACAGGACCACTGGTCATCTTTGACACGCCAGTGACGTCAGACCGATTATTACGATTTAATGACTCGAGCACATCAGCACGGTCTATCATAAATTTGTAAAATTGTTCGAGGGTAGGCACGTCGCCTTCCAGATTGTTGCGATATTCCTCCCATTTTGACAACGTATTGATATCTAACTTAGATGATAACATAAATATTATTAGTACATCCCATTTGTCAGTGGGTTGTCCTAGACTTGTTAAAGCGCGCAAATTTTTTGTCACGTGGTCAACCAAAAATCGCAAAGATCGCTCGGATTCCCGTGGAAGCTGTTTAATATTAAATAATGATGTTAAATGATGATTAATCAATATTCTTTTGTTGTCGTATCTATTGCAAATTATCTTCCACGCTTCAGCATAATTGTTGGTTGACACCTCCAAATTTGAAATAATCCTGGCCGCGTCGCCTTGCAAATAAGATACGAGGTAATGGAATTTATGAATGTCTGATA